AGCCCCGCATTGTTCCCGGGTCCCCGGCGGCGGGGCGGGAGCCCGGCACCCGCGTCCGCTGCCCGCGGCGAACGGAGAACTTCGGGGCGGCGCGGGCCAAAGCTCACAGCCGGCCCCGGGCCCGGAGGAGGAAGAGACCCGACCGATCCCGTGAGAAACAGAACGAAAGGCGGTCCTTCTTTTGTCGAGTCGAATCCCTGAACATACAAAGGGTCATAAAGAAATGTACCCGTGCTTCGTGAGCCATTTAACTCTCCGGGCTTCCTCGGGTGGCATTTTCCCTAACCGCCTGAAAGATATGCTTGACAGGTCCTCGCTCCGGTCCTACCGAACCTCCCTCCTAACTGAGAGACGTGTCCTTTACACTTCGGTTTACTTAGCTGACCGTAAAGATTGTGATAAGCAGGAAGGTGATGCAAGCTTTTTACAGGAAGGATTTTTAAAACAGAACCTGCATGCGTGCATTCTTTTAAGAGTTGTGGGTGTGGATCAGCTATGCGACGTGACCGGTTCGGTAGTCTTTTAATTGCCTCACTTTTGTGCCTCTTAGAGAAGTATGGGCATATCAGCTGTGGGATTGAGAGTGAGATGGTGCATGTTTGACCTTAATGTAGTTTGCGGTTAACGTGACGTTCCTTGAAAAAAGGCTCTTGAACTCTGCCAGTGTTGGCTTACAAGAGCTGGCATTTATAGTACATTTTGCCTTTCCAGGTTAGTAACTGATCATTCCACATCATCTTGTGTCTCATCATTTTCATAGGTTTCTCATTTTCCTTTGTGGCTTTTCTTATTATGCTAGGTGTTCACAGAATTTACACCCAGGTCGATCTCATGTGTTTTAACGAAGGCAAAGAATTATCTAAGGAGGTTAAGCAACTTATTTAGAAAAGTAACATTTAGCTTTTGTTTTGGCTCTGTTTCCATTTTTAAAAGAATCCTACATTTTAGTAAAAACTTAAAAAGAAATCCTCCAGCGATTGCAATTTGTTACGTGATCACTCCTGAGATATTGTTAGGATTGTACATAAATTTAGAACATAAATTGTCAAACCACATTTATTGCTATGGATCTTATATAGAGGAACAACTCTAAAGTACTATTGTGTTCACTGTACAGTTATAAGAATGTCACATATCCATATAGAACATGGGTAATGGATAGAGCAATGAATTAGACATGTCATTTTTAACAAGCTGTTGATAGAAATAAGGCCCTGGATAGGAAAAAAAGGGGCTTATTTCCATGGACGTGGCATTATGGTTGAGTGTCTTCGTTGCCGGTTTTTATGATAACACTTGTGATTACTTCTACTGCAGCAACTTGATATGTTTTTAGTGCTCACAAAAGAATTGCACTTATTTTAAAACTTGAAAAACTGTTTAAAAGCGTGATTTTTATAGAGGCTAGGTAGAGTTATAACTGTAGACATATCCTCAGAATATCTTGCAACAGAGGGTATTTTCTAATTGTGAACCTTTTAAAAGCTGAATCTGTCAAATTCTAACGAAAACTAATACTGGTTTCAGATACCTCGTTTACTTTGTTATGTTTCTGAGATAGTCAAGAGTGTGTGTGTTAACCAGTTGCACTAACAATTTGGCAGATAATTTCTCCAGGGTGAAGACTAATTTGGTGCTTTGTGAATATATAGGGGGGAATCAACTCTTTTCCTTAGAATAATGAATCCAGACATTATTTTGAGATCAGTACATTCACATTATAAAAACAATTGTCCATGAGTAAAGATTAAAATGAACAAAAGAAAAATTTGTATTGAAACCACCATGAGATAAAGTGAAATAGGAGACTGACCTTTCTCCATTGTGGCTGAGTTGATGATTTGTTATCCAACTTATATTCCAGGATTCTGGGTTTGCCTTATTACTTTGTTGCTTGTGAAATAACTTTAATGATTTTACCCCTTCCAATTAATACTTTTATACGAGGTCTTCTGGTGTTCATTTGGGTGTGTGGGTTCCATAGCCAGCCACGTCTGGTTCTTTTGGAGTTGCATGAAAGTAGAGTTATGGATTTGATTGAACTATACTTAGCACAAGTTTTCCTTCTGGTTATTTTGTTAAGGAATTATGATGGATGATTCTATGGTTAAGAGAGATCTTGGGCAATGTTTATTCATTAAAAATTGCCATTTAGTTAGTATAGCCCGGAGATGCAAAGCTCCTTTGGGCTAACGCAGCTCTAAAACTATAGTACCAGTGCCATTTTAATAACTTGGTTCCACGTGCTAGCTTCAAAACTGGGATTATATGTCACTTTGGCCAAGCAAGAAGCAAAGGCTTCTCTCAGAGCAGAGACATGGCCTGCAGGCCAAATTGGTCTCACTTTTTATGCAGTCTGAGAATCGAGAATAGTTTTATATTTTTGGATGGTTACCAAGAAAAAAATCAACATATTTTGTAATATGTGAAAATTTCATATATGAAATTCAAATTTCAGTGTTTACAGGTAGAGTTTTGTTGAAACAGAACCACCACATTTGTTTACCCATCTTCCATGGGTGGGTGTTTCCAGGCTACAGCAGCAGAGTTGAGTAGTTGTAACTATATGGCTTGTAAGCCTAAAATATTCACTATCTAGCCCTTTACAGGAAAAAAAAAAGTTTTTCCAAGAGAAAATTCCCAGCCTCCTTAATCATCATCATATTCTTAATCACAGGTTGCAGGATAGGTAGATTGACTCACTGGGGAGAAACTAGTAGATGTTACTTTTCAATCTTGGCAGACTCAGGACTTAAAAAGAAAACAACAACAAAAAGTTAGATCTCGTCTTTTTGATGCATTGCACCTAGAGCTTAAAGTTAATGCAACTGTTATGAAGCTATTGCAACTTGAAAGGACCCTTATGCCCCACTAACTAGGTTCTTGGTAATAACTGTCATTCGACATTGATGGAGTGAAAAAATTCTTATAGAACTCTCTGGAACCAAACCATGACAATTTCTCCAGGTGACAGACTGCAAGGTTTTTTAAAAGCGCAGTTTATATTCAATATCTGGAATTATTAAGGTGTAACTTAAAATTGCAAGTATGTATGTATCTATGACTTTTCTTAACCTTATATAAGCTCAGAACTGTGCTGTGCCACAAGCGATGATGGATTCAAAATAGAATTGGAATCATTTTTTTTTTCCAAATGAAAGAATACTTGGATGTCACAGCCAGAGTCATTATGAAAGGATAGATTTGGTTTTCTGTCTCGTTCCCCCTCATTTACCTTGTGGAGGCTGACCAAAGTCAGGTGTGAGTTAAAAGTGCTTGAGGGCACTCAGCCAGCTAGCCACAGGGACACTGATGGATTGGTGTCCTCCTTGGAACTGCCTTGGAGAGTCTGGAGGCCTTTGCTAGCCGAATATCAAAGACACTTTGGAAGGGGTTTCTTTCCTTCCTAACAACCTGCGTTGAAACCCTAAACAAGTGTTTGCTTCACTTTCACAGAATACTAGGATCTCTTTCTTCTGCTTGATATATCAGGAGTCTTTACGTCCCCCTTTGAACGTGCCCTAGAAGACCCTAATAACTTCCAGTAAAAAGGCTCTGATGTTTAGACTCTCTGAAGTTTTGTTAAAATCTTAGGATTATAAAATACTGAGTATTTGAAATGAGGATTGCCAGTAATTTATTTGATAAATCAAAGCCAAAGCAATATATTCTAATTTGTATAAATCATTCCCCCTCCCCGCCATGGGTGTGAGGGTGCCTCTGACTGCACATTGAAATCTCACCTAAAGAGGTTATTGGGTTGGGTTTGAAGCATTCGTAGAAAAATGGTGAATGATTTGAATATTTACTCCTGTGCTATGCTTAGATGTAAGAAGGTGTCAGTGGTGAAATGTCTGGACTGATTGGATTGCACTGAAGAATCTTAGAATGAGACTTTTGAATCCTTAACTGTCAAGGTCAGTGTGGACGGATTTGGTCTGACCACTCCCTGCAGTAGAAAAGACTCAGTGTTCATGGACCCTGAGCATTGGAGCCGTTCTGATTGTTTTTGGTGGCACTGAATGCCTCCAGTCTTTGGTTAGCCATTTCTTCTGAGAATGGATGGGTGCCCAGACCTAAAAGTGTGGTTTTTGGGCATTCCCTTGAACTGTACTCCTCTGACCAGCCTTTCTCTTGGACAGGAAGGGGAAGGAAATACAAACAGTTATTGGGCTGTGTTGTGTGACAGGCACTTTAAATAAATTATCCCCCTTGCTCCTCATAACATCTCTCTGAGGTAGGTGGTCCCATCGCCACTTTACAGACAGCAGATTGAGGCTAAGAGAGATGAGACTTGCCCAAGAGCACAGAATTAATAGATGGCAAAGTTGGATTTTGAACACAGCTTTTCAGGTTTCTTTTTTTTTTTCCTTTTTGTCTTTTTTCGTGACCGGCAACGGATCGCAACCCTCGGTGTTGCTCCCGCTCCTCGCTCAGCCAGTGAGCGGCCGGTCTGTATGTGGGATCCGAACCCTTGGCGGGAGCGCCACCGCGCTCCCAAGCGGCGCACTGTAGCAGTGCGCCACCGGGCCGGCTCGCTTTTCAGGTTTCAAGGCATAGGCTTTTTCCACTGCTTCATGATACCCCTCCTAGTAAACCTGGTGTTGTCTCAGGGGTGGTGAAAGTAGGCTTGCCTTCTTAATAGGAAACCGCCCTCACTGTAGTGGGACTGTGTAGACAGTGAAGTTAGGTAGCTGTACGCAAAACCCTAGTTGAAGACTTTGTAGTTTGTGAGTTAGAAGAGAATGGAATAACTGCTTGAAGTCCTTGTGCATTCTTTTTGTAAAGCTTAAAGTTGAAAAAAAATTCTTACCTGTTGTGTCTTTTTTCTGACACCAACTGGTTTTCCAATTTTCTGTTACCAACTGGGTGTTCAACAATTCAGTCCTATACTGACACTAACTAATTGGAGTTAGGGTCAGAGTCTGCAGGACTGCCCTCATTTCAGAGGCAGGCTGCAAGTCACGGATCCCCAGGCTGCCAGTGCTTCTATCCAACTTGGCTACAGATCGGGGGTTCCCACAATCCCTCCCCATCAGGTTCCATAATTTGCTAGAATGACTCACAACTTAGGAAGACACTTTACTTACATTTATTGGTTTATTATGAAGGATACAACTCAGGAACAGCCAAATGGAAGAGATACATAGGGCAAGGTATGGGAGGGTAGAGGTGGGGCAGAGCCTCT